TATATATATATATATATATATATATATATATATATATCACACACATATTCTTACTTCATGCTTTATTAGAACCTATTTTTTATAGCTATTCCTGTTGGTGATAACACATTTATTTATTGGCTAAGAAATATTCATTTTAATTACTCACTAGATGCTAGTTGAGAAGAAACACTTGCCACTGGAATCATAAATAAGCAAATTACTGACACTTTGCTTTTTATGACTTATTTCCTCACAGCTAATTCATAAAATGCAAAAATGCTGATCAATCTTTCTATAGTTTTTACTGTCTGATCTGAAGATTTTTATTTTATTGGAGCTTGAAGCTTTTAATGGATTCAGTATTTTATGACATTTGGATTTTCTAAATCTTGCCAATACTTGGATTATTAAATTCGGCATTTAAGGCGAAAGTGAGAAGTTGGATTTACTAAATGCAGTATTTAAAAGATGCCATTTTTCTGTTAGACATGATTTAAGTTAAACCCGGCTTGAATCGTTACAAGACAGCCACTTTAAGATAAAGAAAGATGATTCGCTTTCAAATTGAATATAAAACCCTATTATTTTAGCCCAGGTTCCAAGTTTTAATTGCTGTAGTTGATTCTCTTTATTTTTCATTTCTTTGCTCTGTGTAATTTTCAAAGGTGTTTAAAATTTGCTTAGCACCAGAAATGATTTTTGAATGCAACTAGAATGATTCATTTAATGCAGATTATGATATATAACTTTTGTTTCGCAGATGAAAAATCAATGAATACACACTATCATACTTTATTGGTGCAACCAGAAAAATGACCAAATTGAATCCCAAATATTAATGTAAGCATTAAATTTGATAAAATTAACAATAAAATAGGATCACACAAAATTAGTTAGTCATGGTTTTTTAAAAACCAAAATTCGTTTCTAGTTGTATCAAATAATGAACACTGGCAAGCCAATAGCAATTTATTTAAGGAAACATTTTGATTTATAAGGTTGAAAATTCTTACCACATGCTGGCATCAGGAAATGAATTCCTCTGAATTAGTTTCTTACACTTGTACTACATTTGAAGGATCACAGGCCAAACTTGCACACATGAGATTGAAAATTGAAATACGAAATGTGAAATTTTATTCAAGTGAAATTTTAATTTCACATTTTACATATGTACCTAAATATGAACTTTTTATCCCAAACTTGTTCTTATGCCTGGTATAATATCAGTATAGTTGACCTCCAGATAAATAAGCTTACAATTCGAACTTCAATTTTTATTCAAAAAGCAAGGGGGCATTTAGGATCACTTTTTTATTTTTGTTTTTAGTTTGTTTGTTTTTGTTTTATGTTTTTAGAAAACATGTTTCATACTGTAATGAGTTTTTTGTTTTTAGAAACCCCGCCCCCAAAAAAAAAAACATGTTCGGTATTCTCATGTTTTTTTATTTTTAAAACCAAAAAAAATTATATATTTTTTTAAAATATTTAATTAAAAAGGGCATTTATGTACAAATCACTTATTTCTGATGTATTTAAGTGTCACCTAAACCTTACTTTTTTACATTTATAGCACTTTAATCTCTCTACTCCTTATAACCCATGGAAGACACAGACGCCAAGGATGCACTGAGACTCTCTATACCCTCAAAATCTACCAGTGAAAAGGACTTCACTGGAAAAGAATTCCTCTCGGTTTCAACCAGTGGAGAAGCCCGTGGAGCTGCTTCATTCTTGCTTGAAGAATTGCTATGCTGTTTCGATCTGCCAGACCTGTCAACCTCTGCCGCATCCACTTGCAAGCCAAGGAGGAGTTTCTTCATCTTCATGCTATATACATTCTCCGGCTTGCCAGAAGAATAAGCATTCTCCGGCTTGCCGAGCTCCTTTGCAGATGCTAATTTGGTGGTGGCGTCGGGCAACACAACAAATGATTTTGATTTTCAGCGGAACTGGACGGCGGCTCGGGTGTTTTAAATACAGCAAAAACACATTTTCTGTCGACGGGCGTCAGCGTCACCATTGCCGGCGCCGGCAATGGAGGCATTGGCATTCCGGCGCCGGCGAAGGCACCGGGTTGGGGTTGGGATTGGGGTCGGAATCGGGTTACGATTAGGATGGTGGAGCTGTTTTGAAAACACAAGAAAACAAACATTTTCTGTTTCCAAAAAACAAAACTAAGAAACATATAGAAACACTGCAAACAAACATGCTTTTTCTTTCTTTTTCTTTTTTTCGAAAACAAAAACATAAAATAGAAAATAAAAAGTGATCCTAGACATCCCCTAAGAATGTGTTAAAAAAGGAGATTCCTATATTGCCTTCATTGCCAAATGCCCCCATAATTTTATACTGCCGTAGCTCCCATGCTAATATCACATGGCAAAACCAAAAGAGTTAGAATGAATCAGCCATAAAAAGAATAATCATTACAATCCATATTGGACTCATAATTGTAACCAGTACTAAAAAGCCACAAATGCTTCCGTAAGAATACCACAATAGGGAATGTCTAGATTCTGAGGAGAGTACTCAGGAGAAGACTGCAGCAATCTTGGAGAAGCTAAGTGCACATATCAATTAGCCGTACTTCGACAAAATTTTGCTGTGAATAATTTAGCATTTATCATCCATATTAGAATGTAAATTTTGCACTTTTTCTAAAGTACTCCATGAGTAAGCATAAACAACTGCCAGTAAATGCGCCAGATTTATCTGGAATCGATCATAAATGATGGACGCAATATAGTTACCCAAAATATTTTCAAGAACAAGCTGTATGGAATTGTTTGGATGTGGGTTGAACATAGGTTCATAAGAAAGAGATGGAAGAGAGTGAAATCCTCATAATTAGCAAGTAGGTGGTGAAATGGTTGAAATCAGATACTTTGAAAACTGGGTTAATGTCAGATTATACTAGAATTTCTAATTTGCTGGAGTTAGTTCCAATGCGTTTCAAGATTTTGTACAGTTTTACGTTTTTGCATGAAAATTTTAAATGCTTTGGGTTCCTAGAGAAATCCTTTTCAAATTTAAACATAATATTATTTCACACTGGGTTTAAACTCAAATGTACTTATAATTATCATAGTTGCCAATTTTCTATGAATGTCCTCATTAACATTTATAAAGTAATACAAATGATTAAACTGTAATAAAGTAATGAAAATGCTAAAATACTGACAAGGATTATAAGAGATACTAATAAGGGTCTATTCATTCCGTTGTAAAAAGCTAGATACGCTTTCCTAATGATATATACAATAATAGATGTCACCAAGAAGAATAAATGATTGCCGCTAATTCCATCCAAATAATGAAGTGGGGAGTAGTTCTGACTAATAATTAAATTACAAAAATAAAAACCTTGCCTAATCAATATCTTTTAATTAGATCGTACAATTTTGCACTAAAAAAATAATGAGAAAAATAGTCGCAATGCCTGGAATTCTAGGACATTTTCTTTTTAAATCCTTTCCCTGATGTCCTTTTCTGTTCTAGTCAAGAAAAGGCTTCAAACAAGAATGACCTGTTGCTGTAATCCATGGATTCTCTCTCTCCCAACTCTAACTTCTCTATCGTGGATGCCAGGTTTCCATTAATGCTTCCATCACCAGCGTGTGCCCTTTCAGTGACATTCCAAGCTTAATCATGCCGCTTCCCTTTATCTAGACCTGTGAAATCGATGGCTGGCTAGATTTTCCCGCAACATGTAATCCAATTTATTGAATAACTTGGCAGATCAATTGTTTAATAAGTACATAAATATGTAAAATATTAAATAATAGATAACAGAGAACCTTATTTTGCTTGTTGCATGCTGTAAGAAAGTTGCAGAGCAATCGTTACCCTGTGAGCTGTATCCAGCATGGGTTTACTTGTGATTTTATGCTGTTGTTTTTGCCCTCTATGCTTACTGCCCTATAATAAACAAACTACTCTCTTTGTACTGCTATCCGGCCCAAAACAGCCCAAGTTACCTCTTTACATTGCTGCTAGTTTTCAAAACTACAAGAAAAATAGAAAGGGAGACAAGAAGACATGCTTTACCTCATAAAGTTACCTTTTGCAACCTAAAAACAATGTGATCGACCCCTCCCAACAGCTGGCAGCTGCTGTCTTGAACCATGTATAGCTGCTGGAGAGGCCACCGGTCTTAGGCAATTAAATGTGGCAGAGTTTCAAAATCCACTATTATCTTCTACCCCTTCAATCTCTCCAAAAACAGGGACTCCTTCCTCAGCTTAGGAAAACTTGAGACAAAAACAAAAAACTGAGAGCAATAAGAGGAGATGAATTTATTTAGAGCCTACATATTCCCAAATTAACAAATGCAAAATTATGAAAATATCTTTCTTAAAATTTAAAGCAACGCTTACAATAGAAAATGACAGAATTAACTCTATTAACCAACCATGTTAATTATGTCATCAATATATAATTCCTTGACAAAGATATGATGAAGAACGTAAAAGCAAAGAAGCCATGGTTATATGATATGCTTATATGGATAAAAAAACTCTTTATAAATAAAATTCATCTAAACAATATAAATGTGAGTTTTAATGAATTATTCAACTTCAGGGTTTGACCAAATCGATGGAAATTCGAAATTCGTTTTTTAATGTAATATTTATTAACAAATTTCAAGAATTATTGATGTTATTTGGCTTGTCATGAGATATTCTAAGAATTTCTATGCTGGTAAATCAAATCAATATCATTGATCATCTATCATATAAATTTTATCATCAAATAATTCATAAGTGTTAAACTTGTAGATTGCTCACTTGATTTATCAACTATGATAGGCATGATTTGCTTAAATTCACATCCATACACGGGTTCTTTCTCCATCACAACTTCAAGTTCAAGCTTGTTGTAATCCTCAATTTTAGTTTCAATCTCCAACTTTTGTGCATATATAAATTTAGGATATTGACTGTGTTCTAATATCGGTACAATTTCAATTTCAACAACATTAGATATAGATTTAGATTGTAATTATAAATCACATTCTATATCTCATACATTCTTGGAAGAATTTTAATGAACGGCAATCTCTTTGATAAAATAAGCTGTGATGAGAAAATAACTTCAATAATATGTAGTTGCTGGAGTGTAAAACTTGCATAATATTTTAACATTGCTAGAATCATTTTGTTTGAAACTCAAAAATTGATTATATGATTTGTTCTTATATTCTCCGGCAAGCACACGTTAATTTTAAGTTAATCTTTTTGGCTGGCACATGTTGATTTTTTTTTTTTAAGTTGTTACACTCAACTAAAGAAGTTGTGCATGTCTCACTAATTTTTTTCCCAAAAATTGCAACTTTTCAGTTGATCAAATAGCTGATAATATCCAAAGAAGTTTCCTAAATTATCAATCTACTTCAAAAATTTTTAGAGATTATACCGCCCTGCCCATACGACTTTGGAATGTAATTTTGAGCCTCATCTTACTTTTGTTATAGGGGACTAGTATTATAACCTACATTTATTCATATAAGTTATTTCTTAATTTTAAATTTTAATTGACCCAATTAAATGTTCTAGCTATTGTTCCAATTTGTTATAGGACGGATTAATATCAGTTTTTTTAATACAATTGGAAGGATACAGTGGTGTAGATCAAGCAAATGCAAAAGATAATGCTGTGCTCAAATATATTAGAAGAAACCATCAATAAATTTGGAGGGGTGGACAAAAACTTATGTTGGCATTAGTTGCAGAAAATTCTTTTTGTTAAGTTAGTATTATTTGCAATACTCAACATGAATAATAATGCATATTCTCAAATAATTAGGATCAAGCTAAAACTTTGGATAGTCAGTGGAGTTTTTTCAATACTTCATTAACGAAATGGTTGGTGAAGTCTGATAAAAACTGATTTTTTTGGTGTAAAAAACAAGAATCCTTTATGCTAAACCCTAAAGCGATAATTTGTCATCCCTGTTTGATGCCTATTTGGTGACACAATAGGATCTGTCTAATAAATGGCTCTTCATCACTAAAGAATGCTAATGGGATCAGATGTGGAGCAGCCATTGGTATGTTTAGGGTTATCATATTTTGACAACGAGCCCCTTAAAACATATTGGGGCAAGCAGAGAATCTTTTATGTTGTTAGGACCATGGTTGAACTTGAACCTTTTTTTTTTTTTATAATTTCCCGATTTTTCTATTGATTTTTTGTTTGCAACTTGTAGTATATCAGCAATAGTTTGAGCGCTTGAGGATATACGAACCACAACTTTCTTTAGTAAACATCTTACTGCCAGTTATTGTTATTGTTATCTTCAGCTTCTTATAAGCTTAATTGCTTCTGTTATTTTCATTTCCATATCTATTTATAGTTTTATAAAGGTCAAAGGGCCAGGTATGCAAAGTTTTATTTGTCTTTATTCGAGTCATTGATGATACATTTTGCTTGTCTCCTAACTTGGAGTTTTTTTGCAGGAAAATAGATTTCTGGTGATGGTCATACGAGATTTATTAAGTTTGTGCGAAATTACAAAGGGAAAAGATAACAAAGCAGTTATTGCTAGTAATATAATGTGTGAATCTTTCACTTTTTTAGTTGTATCTTTTTTTTTTGTTTGGGCTTTTCCTACTCATTGATATATTGATAATTATCAGGTATGTTGTTGGGCAGTATCCACGGTTTTTAAGGGCTCATTGGAAGTTTCTGAAAACAGTGGTGAACAAGTTATTTGAATTCATGCATGAGACACATCCGGGTGTTCAGGTAATATCTTCTTTTCAGTTTTTAACGTGCTTGCTTAACTTTCTTTTGTTTAGTTTTAATGGATTTTAATGCTTTTCATACTCTTATCAATATGCATCTGTCCTCTTGAGTCAGAGTTGCTTAGTTAGGAGTTAATGTATAATATGTTGATAATTTAACAATTTAAATAAAAAGCAGCCCATAAAACATAATGCCATATGTTGAACATCATACATGAAAGTTAACATAAGTAAATCAAATTGAAAGAAATAAATTATTAATAATGAAAGCAATTATATTACAACAACAACAACAAAGCCTTAATCCCACTACGTGGGGTCGGCTACATGAATCCTTTTTCTCCATTGCGTCCTATTTAGTGTCATATTTTCATTTAGTTCTAGTAAATTAAGATCATT